CAAAGACATGAGTTTTAAAGTACTAAAAGTTTAGTGTACTCTTATATTACTCAAAAAGACTAAAAATTCATTCAAAGATGGCATAATATTAAATTAAAATGGCTATTGTCAAAGACAAGAAGATTAAAAAGCTTTAAAATAAGACTAAGGCCAAAAAGGTATTAACAAGAATAAAGAAGGCTTCAATCTTACCTCCATATATACTATTTAACTAGGAGATATATAATGGCATCTTATAGAATCTTTGATATAAGTCCAATTTGTAAGACATGTGTCTTAACTTGCAAGGCAAGTTTTTTATATGTGCGCCACATTATTAGCTTGTATCACAAGCTATCTATATATGCAATACATGGCTAACTTGCTGGCCAAATTTTTAACCTACTAATCAAGTATAAACATGTATAAAGTCAAATATGCATCTATAAAGCTTATAAGAATCTTTGCTACAAGATAATATCAAAACTATTTATATTTATATTATACCTAGTACTTCTTATCTAAATAAATATATATGTCCATAACAACTAGCTATAGAAGGATTTAAATTTATCTTGAAGTTTAATTTACAACTCAAAATAATGCATAAAATGTTTAACAAACATCTTTTGGAAACCTTGAACAATCCAAATAAGCTTCTAATTATACTAAGTACATCCTATCAACCTAAAAAATCCTAAATATATCTTATCATACTTTCATCCATTTCAAATAAATCATAAATAATATTTAATAAATTTTGATTAACTTAATTAAATCTTATCAAATTCTAATTAAATAATAAATTCTAAATCCTAATCAAATCTTAATCAAATACTAATCAAATAATAAATTCTAAATCCTAATCAAATCTTAATTAAATCTTAATTTCTAAATTTTAATCAAATATTAATTAAATTTTAAATCTCAAATATTAATAAAAATATTTATAAAATTCTAATTAAATTCTAATTATATTTTAATAAAATTCTAAATTATAAATTCTAATCAAATTTTAATTAAATCCTAAAAATGTTTTAATCAAATCCTAATGAATCTTAATCAAACCTTCATCAAATCCTATAATAAATTAAATCTTCATAATTAATAATTTAGTTTTTGATTTTGATTTAAATTTTTTAATTTTTAATCTTTTAGTTAAAAACAAGTACAATAAACTTAAAGAAGATTGAATTTATCAAATAAGAGATAAATTCTACAATCTACTTAAATGTTGGCTGACCTCTTTCTCCAACCTTGATGCTAATCTTCCAATTAAACTATTCAAACACATTCAAATTTTACACAATTGTTAAAATAATATTTTCTATTAATGAGCTGAATTTTATTTGAATTAAACTAACAAATTTTTTCATATTTTAGAAACTCTCATTGAATTTCTAAACTCCAATTTTTAAAACCCCAAATTACTTATGTTTTAAAAACCTTAAAATTAAGTTCAAAGTTATAATACACATTTAACATAATTAAGATAATAAATTCAAAATTTTTCACTTCTAAAGTCACTACAAATCTCAAAAAATGCTTTAAAATATAAATCTTTTTTATTTCTCAAAAATTAGAGCCACCTCAAAATAACTTTGATATTACAAACTCAAATTACTCAAAATCAATGCCTAAAGTACTTTTTTCTTATTTTTTCTTACATCACTTTTTTTAATCAATAAAAGAACCTTAGATTTACCTAAAAGACGTAGTTTTGTGCCTCAAGGTTTAAATTTGAATTAAGTTCATAAGTGATCATCTCCATGTATCAACATCTAATTTTTTAAATAATTCTTACTAAAAACTTTTTTTTACTTCTATCTTAAGATATCTATGATATTAATTTTGCTATTATATTTTTTTATACTATATTTAAGGTCCTAAAAAATAAATAAAAGTCCATTTTGCTAAAAAGCAACCATAATACTAAATGTTGTTATGACCTTATTTCTTATTCATATTTTTTTGAAGTAATTCTTATTATTTTTTCTATTAAACTTATTTATAATTTTATATATATATATATATATATATATAATAGTCATATTAAAACAAAATAATATTAAGTCTTTTTTTGTTTAGTGAGGGATTTGAAATATATTGAATCAATTTAGGGAGATTTTGGCCTTAATGAATAAGTTTGAGAAAAATTAGGAACTATTGCCATGACTTGATTTATTCTACTTCAATCAAAATTTATTATTAGTATCTTTTAAAATATTAATGTTGCCTATTTAAACTTAAGCAACAATTTATTTTAATGAATTTGCTTTTAATATTGTTAATAATAAATCTTTGACTTTATTTTGTAATCTATGCCAAAATTAATTGATAAAGGCTTTGCCTTTCTAAGTCATATTCCAAATAAGGTTTTAGAATTCAGTCATATATATGATAGCTAAATGTGGTCTTTATCATAAAAATAGGATTTGGTCTCTATTATCTTTTCTTAATCATTTTTTTTAAATGTAGTTGTAAATAATTATAAGAATAAATTTAGATCATATAATAATTGAACATTATTTTTTATCAAAATTCTATACCAAAAGAGAATATTTTTAAATAGAAGTGTATGTATAAATCTAACTTTAATAAATCCATCAAGATATTGGAAAAGATGCAATCTTAAATAGAGCTTGACCTATTGTAGAATTCTTGAAATTTGATCTTATTCCATCAAATTTCTTTAGCAAACAAATCCTTATATTTTTCATACTTATAGTTTCAAGACTTTTGAAATTCAATTTTTGAGCTTGCTATACTTGCTTCTATCAACTAGACAACTTCTTCATATAGACATTTATCTTTATTATTGATTTTTTTGAAAGACATAGGAATAGAACTTCAATGATAATTATTAGTAATAAGTGAGAATTTTATTCTAAAAATATAAATAAGCTTGTGAAGATCTATAAAATTTACAAATTTATTCTTACTTACATCAATTATAGCATCCATGTTTTTTTCTTCCATCTCTAGAACAAACAACTTCAAGAACCTACAAGTCAAATTACAAGAAGATCATTTGAAACTTCTAATATTAAATAAAAATTTCCAAAAAGAATGATGATCTATTCTTTTTAATAAAACAATCAATCATAAAAAACATAAATCATTAATTTAGAAGTGGGCAATTTGTAATCTTTAAAGCACAACAAAAGAAGTGAAGTAATCTAGGTACTTTTGAAATAAAACAAGAAATGATGAATTAGCAGTCTTATCAAATAATAAAGTATATAGATCATAAAGAACCAAATGATCAATACAAAATTTTGTCACTAGAAATGAGTAGATAATCACTAAAATATGGTATAATATTAAATTAGAATGGCTATTTCCAAAGACAAGAAAACTAAAGACTCTTGAAATAAAATTAACAATAAGAAAGGCGTTGACAAGAGTAAAAAGGCTTTCTTCCTACTTCTATATGTACTATCTAATTAGAAGCTATTTTGCAACATTCTATAGAACCTCTAGTACATGTCCAACTTGTAAGATACATATCTAACTTGCAAAATAAGTTATCTACATGTGCACATGGCTAATTTATACCATAAGTCACAAATATGTGCGATATGTGGCTAACTTGTTAGTCAAATTTTCAACCTATCAATCACCTATAAACATGTATAAAATCAAATCCACTTCTATCTAGCTTCTAAGAAGCTTTTTTATAAGAAATTATTAAATCTATTTAATTCTACTTACTTCTATTTAATTCTTTTAATCTAAAAAAATATGTATGTTTGTGGCAAATACTTCCTTGAATTAGCTTCATACTTTGAAAATAAGTCCAAAGGCCTAAAGAGAAAAAATGATATAGAATGCATTATTTTTCTACATTACATAAATAATATTGTCTTTTGAAATTTCTTTTGGATCCATCTACGAGAGGTGGTTTTTAAAAAAAATAAAAATATATTTAAAAAAAAATACTTAAAATATATCTAAAATAAAATTATATTTTTTTAATACTTCTTATATTTGTTTGAATTTAGATAGGATGTAACATACTTAGACTTATAATAATTTAAAAGAAAAAAATAAAAATAAAATAAAAGTGATTCATTTCATGTCTTCTTTTCACTTTATACTATATCCAAAGGACAAGGTTTTAAAAAAATAACACTTTTCTTCACCAATCAAGAAAGCTCAATAAAAGTTTTGAAAGACAATTTTTTGATGTGGAATTTTAAGTATAAAGTGCATGTTAATAAGTATTTAAAAAAAAAAAAAAAAAAAAAAAAAATGATTTGTATAACATTTGATTAGAAGTAAAAAAAAACAAATGCTAAAATTAATGACCTTAAAAAAGGTGGTGAAAGTTACATTCAGCACAAATTGGACATAACATCAATGATTAAAGCTCCAAAGAATCAAGCTATCTCTTGTGTACAAGCTCTTCTATCTAGTCCTTTGGTTTTGTTGTAGCTTTGTAACAATGGACAGAACAATGATATAAAGAAGTGGATTGCAAGTTAGAGTGTTTTACTATTTCGCATGCACTTTCTTTTTTCATGACCAGTTTATCTTATTTAAACTGGTAGAAGCTTACTTAGGACATTGCCATTGTTGTCACCTATGGTAGTGCCTACAATTGGCCAGGCTGTCTCAGCCTCAAAACGAGTTCTACCCCCACCTATTTCTTGGCCTTGAAAAAATAGAGTATTTCTTTGGCAACTTATTGTGGAAACTATTCTATCCAACCATGGAAAGAAGAAAAGAGAAGGTGGCTTCGTGGAAGGGGGGGGGTGGGGGGGGGTGGGGTCCTTGAGGAGCTAGTATGGGGGGTGGGCAAGTGGCATTAGGCGTGGCTTTTGCCAGCCACCCCACCTAATGGCTAGAGACTGCCTTGGGGCCTCCTTGGCTATTGCACCATAAACCCACGGCATCCACCCCTTCCACGAATCAAGTCTCAAAATTGGCACTTCATCATATAGCTAAGCTATGTATAAAGCATCGTGTAAAATCATTGCTATTTTTTTTTTTATGAAAATAGCTTTGAACACTGTATGTAGATATCAAAAAACACAGCTGTAAATTAATTCATCAGAAGAGTAAGTTCATAAGAAATGCCTCCTAAGTAACACCTGTCATCTGTTTCTGCATTATTATAGGAGGAATAAACAGTCCAAAATACACAGCGCCTATAATCAACGTGTTCAAACCTGGACGGCAAGTCTACTAATTCCACTAGCCACCACAAAAGTGAAACAATTGTGGTACTAGCAGGCAGATAACCCTCGAGAACGGGCCCGTATGTGTACGTATTTACACGGAACACGATGTGCAGACTAAACCCTCCTGATCATGTTACAAATGGAAAGGCACTCTAAAATGGCCTTCAATTTACACTTTAAATAATCAATAAGTGGCACATGAATCTACTCACCAATCTACTCACCACTCAATTGTGTGAAGCTTATTGCACACTGATAATCCAAGTACATCATTTACTACTACAGTAAACTCTGCACTTCACCACCCAATCATCAATAATAAAGCCCGGGTTGATCATTAGAAACACGGACTTCGCCCTTGTTTCCCTGTCAGAGTCATGAACCTGCTCCATGTACTCTGGCTCAAATTTTGCCCCCTGGCAGACGCGAAGAATAGTTGCAGCGGGCCGAAAGGAAAAGGCCAGGTGATGCAAAAGCCATACAGCTTTAATTGCATCAAAGAAAGCAGATATGACAAACCCGGGCACATTTGACTCACCGAAATCTCCTAGTTGATGCAGCACAACCTCCATCCTCACCACAAAAAACTGGTGGAAGCTGTGGTTTACAACAACCCCTTGTTCATCCAACGTCTGCTCTATGTCTACCCAAGTTACCGTTTGAAGCTCTTGGAAAGCCCGAAAGCTCAAGTGCTGAAGAGCTTTAGGATCCAGAACAGGAGCACCTCCACTGGACTCGAAGTTCACATTCTCAAAATTTTCGAACATGATTTGGTTCAAGAAAGATTCAAAATAAAGAATCTTCTGAGTTTTCCGCAAGCGACCTTTGGCTATTGAATGATTCTCCAGAACTGCTGTAATCACTTGTGACGCTGATTCACCCAATTCGCGTATGTAATGACAGATAGATCTGCTTAGTTTTCGCATGCTCCCGACAGCATCGTCGTAAATTCTATCAAAGAGTTCAGGTGTGAGACTAGGGTGAGGAGCAGTCCATTGTCTAGACGGCCTGCCATAGCCACTCCCCAAGCTGCTACTATCATCTTCGCCAATATCAAAATCATACCCACTTGGTCGCGCGTTTTTAGCCTGCTCCCTCAACTGTAGCTCCAAATCTCTACAGTGCACTTGTAAGTGCTCAAACTTTTCTTTCGTAATTTTCAACGCCGCTTCTAGTTGTCTGACTTCACATACTCTTAGCTTCTCACTCTGCTCCAGTTGACTCTGAAGACTCTTTATCAACCTCTCCAAGTCTTTGTTGGAGTCTTTCTCCCAAACAGTCTTCTTCCTATCAGACCACGCGTTGGACGCTTTTCTGCCCCAGAATAGAAAGCCAAACAGCCCTGACTGTTGTACTCTTGGTTTCTCCGCGGATTGTTCTACATCCGGCATGCTACACACCTGGGGTGACTGCGCATCCAAGCCGGAGCCTACAATACAACCAAAAAATCATTCAGAATTACGATGTACAATGAATAGTACAGTATTACCCAAACCCTTTTCATAGTAAATTACTGGTACCACAACCAAGGATCAATCGAAGCCAAGATCCAGCACAAGCGTTTTGTAATTGAACTGGAGAAAACACCTGCGGCAGACACGTTATCGGCAAATGGAGCTATCGTAGATAACGTTTCGGAGCATCCTTTCCAAGAGGAGCCTTGTAAAGGAGCTGTAGTATCCATGTGATTTCCTCTTGCTATATCTACAAGGTGCGCTCTTCCTCCATTCCCAATGTCTCGCGCCTGCGCAGTGGCACGGAGCTCCAGTTTGCTACTTGAGTCTGCAATATTGGAGGTCTTCTTCTTCGGTAAATGGTTATCCTGCATGAATACACCTCTAGGTAGTGCACCAGGGGTGACTGGCAGGTTGGTGCCATCACTCTTCCCCGACATGGCAGACTTTGGGGTGACTCCAGTCAATTGAGAAATTTCTGGACTTAATCCAAAGCTGAGACTGTGGCTTCTTCTGTTGCTGTGGTAAGCGTGACGTTGAGCGGCTGCGGAAGATTGTGGCTGATTCGCTGAATAACCAGATTCCGCAACAGGCGCAATCTCTTGTTCAGAGCCGCTTCCATAACGACGATGCTCTAAAGTCCTTCTTCTAAAAGTGTCTACTTCGGTCGGGTGATCCTGAATCTGATCCTGAAGGTTTCCAGAATGCAGTGGCGCGTCCATATAACTCTGCTATCAAATGTCCATGCGATAAACAAATAATCAGCATTGTAAGAATCAATAAAAGCTTGGTTCTAGCAGTTGTCAGAAGTTCCAAAACAAGTTGAAATTAAGAAAAGACGTAAGTAGAAGTGTACACTAGAGAACGCTATTCTGTCGAAGTGAATTACATTATCCTGAAGGAGGAATTGCCATGAAAATATTCGATCAAGGTTGTATGAACCATGAGCAATAATGCGCCACACTTCCGCAGACCACTGAATATATGATCGTGTATACGACCACTCAAACCCAAAACAGTGGGCCCCAACAAACTACCGGTGACTGCAACTCAAGCTACGCGGGGATGTGTGCTGTAAAATATCACTTTAAGAATACAGATTAGGCTGTATCTGACGTTCATCAGGGGAGGAGGTACAAGTCTGGAGAATTGCGTAAGTAGCTAAGTAGCAAAGTTCGTCCTTGGAAGAAGTCTACAAACAGAATTAAAACCTTGCAGCGCACGTCAGCGGGGGTCGTTGACACACCGCTCGACCAAAAAAAATACCCAAGAACAGGAAGCACGCGCCACGACCGATCATAAACCTGGTGCATCGGCAGTACGACAAGAATTGAGCGTTTATGAAGGACTCTAATGCACAAAGCTGGACGGGAGACAACTATCGGGAAAGGTCAGGGTGCAGGCTTCTTACAAAAAAATTATTTACCATATCCTACTTTTGTTGCTCCTATCTCAAGAGCGCGAACGAGGCATGATTCAGGATCTCACCGGAACAAAAAGCGGGTACTCGGTCCGAGAAGGCGCCCGGCGAGCTCGAGGAGTGGCGCCCACAGTCAGTGAGGGCAGCACAGCTGCAGCTTGCGCCCGCAACGCCGCGCTCTCCTTCTGCATTGCAACGATTTGCTCCCATGTGGGCTTTGCGGGTGGTTCGTTAGCCCAGTCCACAACCCCCCCAGCGTCCATATTGTCCCTCATCACTTCACCCATCACACCAGCGTCTTGCGACATAGACCCCTCCACATCTTACCCCCAAAATCGGTAATCAAACCTAGAATCCTCGACTCATTCTCAAACCTCTCAACCCAGGATCCTAGCCCATCTTCCTCTCGCCAAAACAACGCCCAAAACCTCGATTCTCCAACAAACCCACTTCCACCACTTCTGTTCCCCCTTGCAGCGCATTCTCCTACCTGCAACATCCTGCAAGCATGATACCCTCAAGAGTTTGCCAGTCCACCATCATCGGCATCCTACCTTGAGAAACACACTGCTGCCCCGTCCTCTGTTCCTCCCGCTCCAAATTCAGCTACGTTATTCATTGCCTAAGCCTACCTCCCAGCTAATGCTTCATTCAAGACTCAGCGGGCAATTATCATCCTCCACCTATATTGCTAAAAAAAGCTCCGGATGTGGGAGCCCTGCACGTTGTCGTCCAAAAAAGGACTCTCGTAGGAGAACAATAATCGTAGGAATCATGATCATGGCCTACGCCATGAGAGCTAGGCACACAAAAGCACCCCGTATCGTTCCCAGGAGCAACAAATGCGGGTGAAACTCAGTCGTGGAGCTGCTGGCTTGCAAGATATCTCTGATCCTGCCACGACCAATTTGTGGGGCTGTCTGTTGAGAAACTTAACCCTGCTTGACACCGGACATCCAGACACCGATCCGGTAGCCCGACAAAATAAACCTTGAAAAAAAACTAATCATACGGCACTGCACTGGGAATTTACGCCATCGCTCTGGTGGGACATGGCGACATCAAAAGAAGAAGTGTTGAGGGAATTTTCACGTTGAGCAGCAGCAGCGCGTTTGAAGATGCAAGACTGTCGGAGAGAATTTAATGCATGGATCTTCCGATCATGAACCCCATGAGAGGCATTACTGCACAATGTCAGACATGGGTATCGCTAGCTCGGCGTTGTGCAAGTCAACTCCCTGGGGTTCGATGCCCCTGTTGGGGCTGCTACTTTGTCTATCCCCGCCTCCCTCATCGCCACTTTGTGCGACGCTGCCCTTGTGCCCTGCACGCAACACAATAAAGGAACATAGTGAGGTGGTAGTGAGGAGGCAGTGTTACCTCTTTGGTCCCACTCACTCCTTTTATCTTTAGCCTTTAATAGAACTAGTCACATCTATTTAATGCGGGGCTGCATCAAAGGATGTTCATGTACTGCAGGATGGTTTTGCTGGCAGAATAATGTGGACCAATGATATGTTGGTATACTCATGACAGCTTACCCATACCAGAAAATTTGAAGGTGGTGAAATAGATTTAGAGGCTTTGAAAACACTTGCACTGGGGTTGTGGTTAGTTGCTTGCAGGCTAAAATGCCAGTTTCATCTCCTTCTTTTTTCACATTTTTTGTTATCAAATTTATAGCATAGAGGTAAACAAAATGAGTTACCCAGTTCCCACAGTCTGAGTGGGTTGTATCCTGAAAACGGAGGAGGTGATGCACTCTCTTTGTATGATGAGGACATTTCATTTTCTGATAAATTTCTATGCAAAAGTCTTGATATGATTGCGGAGTTCTTTAGTGTTCATTATATCACATCAATTTATAATGAATACTTAAAGCCACCAATAAAATTTATATTTGTTGCATCTTAATTGTATATTTTCATAATTTCTTATTCTATGCCATTTTCTTCTATCAAAAAATGTTTTTTTAAGAGGGATACTTTTAGAAACCAATAATTGTACATTCAATGCAAAGAAGCTTGATCACATATACCTGAGTTTCTTGCACTTTAAACGTGTTTACTTTCCAATTCCATATTAAAAAAATATAACCTGCATTGTTTCATTCAAACAGTGACAATAATAATGAAAAGGATTCAAATACCATTTATTGCATAATAATAATAATAATAATAAATACAACACAACCAAGATAATAAATAATTTTTTTATTTATAATATGTAGAAAGTTTAGAAGTTTAATTTAATATAAATATATTTTTAAAGTAAAAAAAACATTGTGATCCATGTTATTGTAATAAATATTCTTATTATTGTAAAAAAGATGTTTCTATGTAATTCAATAATTTGAATTTTAAAAATCTAAAAACATCCAAATTTATGTGTCTGTGAGTGTCTACTACCACTAATCTTAAGCTATGCTTGTGATGCTAGTATTATGCCTGAAAATGTTGGTAACAAAAGAGTCAATTTTTTTTATTACAAAATACACATATTTGTATTTTGGAGTTTCTTTAAAATATAATACATTGTGACTAACAATTCATATTATCTCAATTAAATAAACTAAAATTTAACAAAAATATATATATATATATATATATATTTCTTTAGTTTCGAATTATAGTTTTTTATCAATAATTTTTTTCTTTTAAAGTAAAATTGTATAGAAATTATATTAAAATTTTATAAAATATAAGCATTTAAATAAAAAAATAAAAAAAACCAAAATATCGAAATATCATATACTAAATTAAATTTTACCAAATTAACTCACCTATCAAAACCATCATTACATCTCCATATCCTCCATTCTTAATGCTTGTCTCTTGTCTCATCTTCTCCAACCTCGTTCCTAGTTCCTATTCTAACCTTTGGTCTATGTTTCCATTATTCATTTCCTATCTCCCATCTTCCATTCTCATTGCCCATTTTCTCCATCTCCTCTTGTTGTATAACATGTTGTCTTATTTGAGAATGAATTGATACTTGCTTATAGAGGGTAAATTAGAAATTGCAATAACAAAGATGTTATTATCTCTAATAGAGTCTTAAATAAATTCTAATTAAACTTAAAAATCCTAATTAAATTATAATCAAATTCTTTAAGAATCTTAAAGAAAGTTTTAAAAAAGCAAAAAGAGATTATAAATAAATATTTTTAAAAATATTAAAAATAAAAAATTAAAGAAATAATAAAAAATATTTTTAAATTACTAAAAATAGAAATCATAATTCAATTCTAAGTAAATTCTGATAAAATTCTAATTAAGTCCTAAACATATTCTAAATAAGTTCTAAAAAAATTCTAACTAAACTATAATAAAATCCTAAAAAATTTCAAAGAAAGCCATAAAATAATCCTAAAAAAATCCTAATGAAATCCTAAGTAAATCCTAACCAAATACTAATGTAGTTCTAAGAAAATCCTAAGCAAATTCTAAACAAATCTTAAAAAACTCTTAATGAAATCCTAAACAAGTTTTGAGTAAAATCTTAATAAAATCCTCATGAAATCTTAATAAAATCTTAAATAAATCCTAATTAAATATTAATTTATTTTAAAAAATATATAAAAGAAGTCCTAATAAAACCTTAAATGAATCTTACTAAATCCCTAAATAATCCATAAAAAATATTAATTAAATTCTATATATATCCTAAATAAATTCTATATATATCCTAAGTAAATTCTAATAAAATTTTAAGTAGATTTATACCAAATTTTTATAATTATTTTAAAACCAAAATAATTATTAAATGAATTTTTGATTTTATTTATTTATTTATTATTATTTTTCACAATTCAATCTTTAAGAAAATAACAAGCATAAAAATTTTGAAAAAAAAATCAAAATTACCAATAAAGAAAAAAAACTCCTAATATTCTTTAGTGTTAGCCATCTTCTTTCTCTAATCTAAATATTAATCTTCTAGCAACAATTATTCCTTGATTAACTATGCAATAGTTTTTTTAATTGATTAAAGTATAGATATGTAAGCCTACTATACTCTTACATATGTTTGCTTCAATCAAACTAATTTTAGTTCAAGATCACAAAAAAATCTGACTAATTCTAAAATTCAAAATTTTAAGATTTTAATTCAATCAAATTTGTATATTCTTCAATCTATCTATTTGATTGACCTCAAAAATTTAAAACATATTTAAAACAAGTACATTAAAAAAACCACAAGATTTGATTTATACACCTGCTATAATATTTACAAATTCCTCAAATGTATAAGTTTTTTTTTTTTTTTTTAAATCTAAAATTACTAAAAAAATATTTTTTTAAAATCTCTTAAAAATTCATTATCTATTCAAATAATTTGAAGTTAATGTTAAAAAAAACTTTCTTAAAGTTTTCACCCTAATTTTACTCTTTAATCAACAAAAGAATCTCAAAAATGTTGTATGTGCATAGTTTTGTATTTCAAGGTTTGATTTCAAAATGTTGTATTTGCATAGTTTTATATTACAACCGATCTTCTCTAGATATCAATTCTTAGTTTCTTAAGTTAATTTTTGTTACAAACTACTCTTAAATCTCTATTAAAAAATTTTATTTTATTTAATTTTATATCTATTTTTTATCTTATACATGATAATATAAAATAAAAAATCATTTTATATAAAAAATAACATTATTTTTAATTATTTTACTAATTCTAAATCTTTTATTGTCACGGACATACATATAATTACCTATATGAATAGATAAAAGTATGTAAAAGTAGGTTAATTGTGTAATATCTTCTAGAGAAGCTTCTTAGAAGCTTCATAGACGCTGCTTTGACTTTATAGGAGTCTATAGTTGACTTTTAGGTTAGAAACTTGGTCAACAAGTTAGCCATGTGCCACGCATGTTGGAAGCTTAAAGAACAAGCTAACTACGTGGTCCATCCATAGAAAACTTGCCTTGCAAGCAAAGGCATGTGGCCTAGAAAGTCAACATATATTGGAGGTCTTATAGAACATCGCCACGTGGCTTCTAGTTAGATAGTATATATAGAGGCAAGAGTGAAGCCCTCTTCACTCTTGTCAACTCCTTTCTTGCTTCTAGTCTAGTTTCAAGGGTCTCTAGTTTTCTTGTATTTTGGCAATAGCCATTCCAGTTTCTTTCTTAATATACATATTTCTATTTTGTCCTATTTCTTTTTGAGAAAAGTCTCACTTACTCTTTAGCTTTCATCGAGTTCTTGTCCTTGACAGATTGACAAGAGTACACTTACAATATCAGAGCTTTGTCTTTTCTTGATTAAGAGTGGATTATCCCTTTTTCTTGATAAGACATAAGCGCATTAGAAGTTGCGGATTACCCTCTTTTAAACTGATATTGTTCTTAGTATTTTCTTTGTTGTCAATTCCTCTCTTCTATTTGTTTTGAGCGTTATTAGACATCTTCTCTTTTCTAAGTGCTACTATGGCAGAGCTTGTTGAAATGAAGAGTGCAATGGCACAGATGCAAGAACAATTGAGGGAGTTAATGCTTACGATGCATCAACTCAATTTACCACCACAAGGAGCAACAAGAATGGTAGGAAGTGAAGATATAGAGATGATTGGGGCTGCTTCAACATCTGCACCAAATCATGTCCCTTCTCCCAGAATGGAACACCCTTCGAGTGTTAGAGAACCGAGAGTTGCCTTGCCCGAGAAGTTTGATGGTACCAGATCCAAGTTTCGAGGATTCATCAATCAGGTCCAACTAGTGATTGAACTTCAACCCCAGAGCTATCCAACTCCAGGGTCACAAGTAAGATTCATTGGTACACTTCTTTCAGGTTCAGCATTGTCATGGTTTTCATCTTTTCTTGAACGACGAGATCCAATATTGGATAATCTGGAGGCTTTTTTGGCGGAGTTTCGATCCATGTTTGGAGAACATGATGCAATTCGTGTTGCAACCAACAAGATCCGTATTTTGCGACAAGGCAATCGATCAGTAACATTATATGCTTCGCAATTTCGACAACTTGCAACTGATATCAAGTGGGATGATGCCGCACTTGTGAGTCAATTTCTCTACCGATTATAATATGAGGTAAAGAAATTGATGCTCAATTTACCTGATCCTCAAACATTGAGTCAAGCAATTGACTTTGCTGTGAAGTGCGACAATCGACTTTTTGAATTTCGATCCGAGAGTCGCACAAGTGGGCCTCAACGTTACTACAATTCAATGGCAACACTGACGTCTCCTCAACACATACCTTCAGAAGTAGAGGATATG